AGAGAGAGAGAGAGAGAGAGAGAGAGAGAGAGAGAGAGAGAGAGAGAGAGAGAGAGAGAGAGAGAGAGAGAGAGAGAGAGAGAGAGAGAGAGAGAGAGAGAGAGAGAGAGAGAGAGAGAGAGAGAGAGAGAGAGAGAGAGAGAGACATATATGACTCAAGGCAGTTTAAAAGAGCTCATCCACATTTAAAATAAACTTCATTTGATGTCTATTGGATTGTCTCTCTCCTCTAGTACCTCCAATCTGATTTCAACTGGAAGAGGATGGATGGCCACGACCTCTTCCTCTTTGTTTGAAGTTGCTACAACCTTTGTCTGCATAAGATGCCCTTGCTGCATCCTTGGCTTTTCATTGGCAAGATTGATCTCCTCACTACAAAAAGTTGAGTATAAATCATCTAGGCTAATGATATAAAGTTTAGTACGTATAACAGTTTTAAAACCCTGATAGTATGATGGTAAACCATTGAGGGTGTATAAGATCACATCTTCTTGATCCACATGAGATCCAACTGCTGTGATTTTACCGGCCAACACCTTAATTTCTGAAAGGTATCGTGTCGTGTTATTTTTCATTGATATATGGTATAATTCACTCTGAACCTATTGGTAGGTTGGAGTCGTTTCTCAATGGTTGTCCATATTTCTAAAGAGGTTTGGAGGTGAAGAATGTATAGAAGAATAGCTGTAGAGATAGTTGAGTACAAGGTTGCTGATAAGTTCTGAACCAAAAGGATCCATGCAGTATAAAGGGGATTCAAGGTCACTGATCCATTGCTTCAAGAGATGAATTGTTTAGAACATTCAGCTATTCCATCAAGAAAATTGGAAAATCCATTCGTCATGAAAATCTTGAGGATACGTGCGCGCCAAATGGGGGCAATTCTCATTAGTTAACTGATTTTGTGCAAGTTGTTTGATATTGGATGCCAGAGATTTGAGTGATGAAGTTCTGGTTTTGTTAGATGCAGAGAAAGAAGAGGTAGGAGTTCCTGATGTTACTGAATCATCCATTGGAACAATGATCTGATAGAATAAAACGACAGAAGAAGAAACTTGAAAAAATCAGTGCAGGATCCCACTGCTCTAATACCATAAAGAAGGGGAAAATAAGACAGAATTTCTGTTTATTCAGCATTACAAAACTCCTATACATGCTCTAAGAATTCAAGAAGAGAATCAAGTTAGTTATTTCCTAACAGTCTTGACAGCAGGTACTGCTGCTGAGTTTTTTACCTTCAGTGGTACCTCCCATATTGTATTGTTGTTAATGAAGTGATGTATTGCGGCTATTAGTTAAAACAACAGTAATTTCATTTTTTGCATTACCAAAGTAAAAGCAGAACAACCAGAATAGTCCCCATTAGTTGTAACAACAATTCTTTCCAGTCCGGAGTAAATAACAAAAATCGCAGTAATGTAAATTCTGTGGAATCAAATACTCTGAAGGCTCTTCTGGACTCGGCAGAGTTTGGACAAGGGTTCTGTGGCGGAGTGTCGAAGATCTAAAACTGCTCCAATTTTTGAAAAAAATTATCACCAGACAAGTTGGGTTTCTTCTTCAAGGTTTCGCAACCCATAAATGTCCTACTAACCCTCGCTCTCGGTCTCCTGGTTGTCCTGGAAATCCAATATTTAATCAGAAGTTAAGCATATCAGCAAAGAGATAATGGACACAAATAATGTCATACTCAGTCTATATAATGTTTCATGGAAGTCAAACTTTCGCATTTTAAAGAAATTGTAAAATATCAGAAGAAAAATCAGGCGTCTACATGCCAAATACATGTCCAGAAAATGAAATCAAAGAATCAACTGATATTGGGAAGGAAATCGAAGGGTTCTTGAATTCCTTGAGAAGTTGCATTGATTCTCATTCTGTAATGGAAGATGTGGGAGAATTTGGTAACAAGCAGCTTAGTGGAAAGCAAGAAATGTGGAAAACAAAGGCGAATAAATGAGGACTAGAGACTGAGGGATGAAATCAGGAGAGGAGACACGCAGATGGTGGAGATTGTGTGAGGGTAAAACGTGGTGGGGACTGACGGTCAAAGAATTATGGGTGAGGGAGAGCAAAAATGAAAAAATCACCGCGCATTTGTGTGTGTGATGATAGAGAAAAAGCAAGAGAGATGAGAGTGCGCAAGAACAGAAAAAATCCATGGCAGAGAGGCTTAATCAAAAGGTGAGGAGACTGAAAAATTCAATATTTCTTCATTTCAATCCAGAGAAAATCAACTTTGGTCATATTTATTCAAAAAGAAATATTTACATACTACTCAATTCTTATGTGTTTACGTATCTAACTAAACTTCAATTTTTACATAGAAGCGGCCTTACCTAGGTATGACAAGGTGTATTTCACCTTTAAAAGTTCAAATAGTGGTATTTTTGATGTGATAGGAAATATTTGGGCGGTATAATTGTAAAGGTAAAATTTAAATGTTAGATAAGTAAATATATAGGAATTGAGGGTATGTATGTAAATGTCCCTAAAAAAACCATGAGGATAATTACGAGGAAATATACCTAAATAAAATGAAAAACACATTCCCTAAACCGATGAACATTAAATAAACTTAAATATCAAAAGATTTCCTAAAACAACAACTAAAAAAAATAGAAGAGCATCAACCAAATAATGATTGTACCAGCATGGACACGGTTAAAACGCAACAAAAATCATATGACATAGAAAAACAAGAAAAAGTAAGACATGAAATGACGTGTTATTGACACACCTTCAGGATGTGGAACATTATTAAATGAGACATTCTACTTTTGCACAGCCTACACATCTAATTTTTGCTAGTTTACAAATTATAAGGATGTTATCTTGCATGCCTTTCACCAAATTCTCTTGAGTGAACTCTCACTCTAAAATATGCTCATTTATACTTTCCATAACCAAAGAAGCATTTAAATTTCATATTTCCTCCCATCTCTTATCGCTCCTATTTCATCAAATACGGTAAAACACATCCACAAAAGCTTATTATCATCATCCTATATTGAGTTATTTACAACTGCATCAATAATTCTTTTAGAAGTCATTCCCATATAAGAAATTAAGATTAGTAGCAGCAACAATGACCAAGATGCTAAAACCTTATTAACACTGAAATCCAACAACAATTTTTTTTATAATTCCTGAAATATTAGGTAAACAATTTTTAAAAAGACAAAAAAAAAAAAAAGAAATAGAGGCATTAATAATGGAGTACAGCAAATGAACAATAGAAAAATCAAATATTATTGCTGAATTCAAAATAGGGAATAAACAACACAATAAACTCAAGTTGGAGTGGATCTCGGGGTGGTGGTGGTGATTGGCGAGGCTTAGTGCTCCGAAGAGGCAGCAAACAGTGGGTGAAGAGCTGGAAGGCGTGGCACAAACAAAGTGTGTTGGTAACTGTGAGGGGAATTTACGAAGCTTTAAGAACAAGTATGGTTGATTTCTTGAGTGTTGGTAGAAAGAAATAGAGTTGGACAATGGGTAAATAGCTGGGAAGGCTTGTCCAAGGTTGCGGCAGCAAGGAAGGACGGCGGTAATGACGGAAGTAGTAGCGGCAATGGCAACAAACAAGGATGAGATAAACAGATAGTTGGGCGGCTAGAACAACAGAAAATGGTTGGGAACTACTGTTTCCAGGCGGCTACAACGAGGCAAAATGTTAGCGACAACGGCGAGGAATGAGGGGGTTGCAGAACAACAAGAGAACGGTTGTCTGGGGTAGCGGCAGTGAGGACAGCTAGTTGGAATTGAAAAATTACTAGGAAAATAGCATTGTGCAGCTATTCCAGGTGGCTACACCAATGGAGGGTGTTAGAAGTGACATAAGGAATATGCAGAAAAGGATAGGGGAAATAATCACCAACTCATAAGTGAGATACACTGAAGCACCAATTGAACCCTCAGATACAACCCTCGAAGGGAGAAAAAAAGACGCTAACGGTTGTCTCAACATAAACTCATGCAAAAACTAACCCTAAATGCCTACAAAAGAAAATATATAATAATAGGATAATGAGAGTAGCCTAAGAGAATCGATAGACTCCTCAACAAGGACAAAACTTGGACCAGTTCAGTCCAGGTAAAACAACAGAGTTACTGCTTCATTTGCAGAACTCCCACATTAGAAGCAAGGGTGCTCCCACGTCAGTCTCCCGAGGTTGGGGAAGCTTCAACCCCATTCGTTAAAGCTTTTCTCGCCTCAGAATAGTCAGTTAAACCCCTTTGAAAGTAGTGCAAATGTTGTCAGCTCCAAGTATGTCACACTTGTTGGTATTGTCATCTCAAAGCACATCGTTATTGAGTAAGTATTTATCCACTTTTAGCAAAACTTAAACTGTGGAGCTGCATATCGGTGTAGGTTCCCACATGCGTCTTAGGCAATTAAATCTATAATTTTCTTATTTCACCCCTCATGCTCGTCGGAGTGTACCTAATAATCAAGTATGTAGGGATGAATTAGCTCTGAGATAAAATCTATGGCAGATGAACCACACTTAAAAGTATTAACCACTCAAGAAAGGTTTCTTCTCCTCTAAAAGAACCTGGATCTCATTGTAGAATGTTCTTATCAACAAAGCTCTTAAAGCGCTTTGCAACACTGTGGGCCATCCCTCATATCTGACTATCTCTAGGTGATTACACTACTGAACTTAATTTAATACCCAAATGCTCTAAAGGGTCTTCCAAAAATAGCTCAAATGCTCATCATCCCTGATATCTTGGACCTCCCTCGATATTTAGGAGGAAGGCTAAGTATCTGAGAATTCTGGAATACTCTTATCTGGGGTGGTTTTATATCTAGTATCAGCTCTTTAAACTCATAGCCCTTTTGCATGTCCAATGTCAGTCCTACTGATGCTTCTCTCAACACATGCAAAATGATAGCTCGAGCCACCTCGATCTCATATTCTGCATGAACACCCATTACCCTAGACTCACTCCTTTATAGAACAACTACTATTAGTTCAGCTGGAGTCACTCTCACAGGGTCAGCTGAAATCGCCAGTGTCTGTTCCTCATCGGCTGGAAGTTGTAAATCCTCTCTGAAATCTTCATCTTCTCCTGAATCACTGTTTATTTCTTCAAGTACTCCATAAAATGTGAAAGAAATCATTTTCTTGGTTGTGCAATGATTCGATATGCCCAAATTCATGATACTTGAAACACTTCCTAGATGAGACAGATTTGGAAATGTGGATTGATTCCACTTGTTCTCTACTCTGAACTAGTGTTGCTCACGCGGAGTCAGCATGGATGTTTTGTTGAATGTACTCTCGTTGTTTGATTTCGAGATTAAACACTGTCTGTAAAATGTGGCAGTCATCCGACGATATTGCCTATTGACTTGTGAATATAGGATATGAACATCCAAGTACTGGCACTGGATTTCTCATTATATTTTGGACCAGGTAGTGATATTTTCTTTTCCTCACGCTGATTTGGGTGCTTCAACTTTTCTCACCATAACAACACACCCTTCTTTAACTTGCTGACAACTAGTTTCACCATTATGTTGGAAGAAACCATCCAGGCACTCAAAGACAGTTTCCACTGTCCAAAGCCACTTGATGAACTCGTCTAGATCAATGTGGCCATCAAAATATGACAAATCTACTTTTACTTCATCTCACAACTCGTCCCGGGGCTTAGAGTTAACAAATACAGGAACAGATGGTCGGACGGTCGGACAATAGAAATCAGTTCACTGATATTCTAATTATATTACTACAGTTTAATATACAAATAATACATGAAAGAGTCACTAAAGTGAACAATTAAAATTAACAGTTAAAATTTGTACCTTCCTGAATATTGTTCTCGTCTTCTATACACATTTGATCTTCTTTTGTTCTTCTTGTTCAAATATTTAAAACCTAAAAATAACATTGAAGCAACATAATGAGTTATTTAAAGATAGCACAGGAGTAACAACATTTCTAAACTAGTGTAATAAAAAAAAAACAAAATATGTATGCTAGTCTATAAGAACTTTTATAATATGGTCTTTCATAATTTTTTAGTCAATACGATATATACTAATACATCTATCAATAATTTTTTTTTAAATAAACATACACTAATTTTTATAAGCATTTTTGTTAACTTTACTTTTACTTTATATTCCTTACATTTCTGTCTCTGTGATGTCGCCTTCAACAACCTAACCCACCATTGACTGATATTGCCTTGTCAGCTCCCGTTGGCTCAACGGTTAGCAATCTATACATGACACTTTTCTAGGACTCTTACCTGCCCCTGACCGATATTATCTCATCAGTACAACGGTTAGCAATGTAAACATTACAATTGTTTGGAGAGTTATGGTTTACTCGCCCCTGCCCAATATTATCTTGTTGGCACGACAGTAAGTGATATAACTATCACAATTGCCTGGGGATGTAGAAAAATGCTACACGTGTGGGTACACTGGTGTCCCATACCATACCCTTAGAGATTGAAATTCTACTTTAAACACTCACATACAAGCATTCATATATAAACTATTTCATTATTCATAACATACATTATTCTGAGACAACATACATATCTACTTTATTGTGCAACAATTCATCATGCATATCTTTCATATCATTCATATATCTATCTCATTCATATCTCTTATATCATCCATATTTTCTTACATGTCTATCTTACATTTCTTACATATAATGTTTATTTAAATATTATTCATCTCATGTCATATCTATCATGCATGCACATCTTTTTCTACTATGTTTATCATATCTTTCATATCTAACAATACAAAGAATCTGATTAAATTAGGGGATATATGGAGTCAAACATACAATCTGAAATATAAAAAATTACTGAAATTTAGAAACATGATTACTCACTGCAATTACTCCGCTAAAGACTTAATCTTCGATAGCTAGCTGAAGATTACGGTGATTTATATGTTGAGCTTAATAACCTATAAAACATAATAGTAAATTTTATGATTCAAGTGATTTCTGTAAATTATATTATTCTTCTTATCAACATAGGATTATGCTACCTGAAACTTATGCAATCGTCCAACGACAATCTTCTACATGGTTGCCTTTAACTCGCCGCCTCAAGCAAACTAACATGAAAACTTAAATTAATTAAGAATTCATAATATATAAGTTGTCCAATATCTTATCTCTTCTTCTTAACAATTCAAATATCCTTTTCCCTTCACTGGTGATGTGCAAAAACACTTCCGGAGCTTGTAAACCACATTCAACACATTCGACACAATCGATATTTCCGACAGGTACCAGAAACAAACAATGCATAAAAAATGAGGCAAACTTTAAAACCGAAGGGTGTGGAAGGATATGAATGTCTCAAATATTGTAAAATGGGGATTCATGAAAATCATCCCGAATCCCTAAATCCTGAGTTGCGGCCTTCCCAGGTGTCGCTCGGCTTCCCTGTCGCTCGTCCGCCCCTTGCTATGGTGGTCCAAACGAGAGAGTTCGCGGGAACACCTCTAAGCAAGCTTTCTGCCACGTGAAACCCCAACAGGGAAAGGAAAACAGGAGAGGAAATTGGGAGAGGAGGAAAAATCAAAGTTTATGATGCTCTATAAGATTGATCCAAAGAAATAAAGTGGCGTAAGGTCGGTTTTGAATAGTGGATTTGAGAATTAAGGGAGAATGACTTAGGAATTAATTAGGTTAATTAATTTAATAAAACATATCACTTTTAAATTTTTATATCTCTTAATCTATTCAAAATTAATATATAATGATTTTTTATCAAATTGCTCTTTAATGCGCAGAATTTTATAAAATTAAATCGGTTGAAATCTCGGAGGTGCTTAAATTTGGATCCATATTACATTGCCAAAAAATTAATCAAATTTCTCTAAATGGGTTATTCCAATCTCCCTTTCTTATAAAATTTCGTCCTCAAAATTCATAAACTTCACATCAACTATGAAGATAAAATAAAAGTGATTACAAAATTTTTTCTTGTTAAGTGATAACTAGAACATAACAAACGCTATGCATCAACATCAGTTGCAACATGTTCTTCTGGCTCCTGATGGGTTAAGGAATAGACTCTTGGGCAAATATTCTGCCTTGATTACTCCTAACGAGCCATAGTATCAGTTTTTGTTATCCTCTGCTAACTACTTCTAGAAATAGAACCTTCCGAAACATTCCTCTGAACTGGATCCTTTCTTGAATAAACATCTAATGTGGATCTTTGAATAGATTAGGGCAATTTCCCCTCTGATGTGCAGGCTATCTGCATAGATAACACACCTTCAACCCAATTAAACATTCACCAATTGCTGCTTCCCACACTTAACACAGGGTTGTATAGTGCTACTACCAGTCTGGCTAACAACACCAGTGTAGGACTTTATTTTCTTCCCACTAAACACTCATCTTGAATGAACAGTTGGTGTCACTTCTTTCAAACTCTTCCTCCTATCCATGTCTCTACACTTTTCAGTCTGCTGGAAATCAATCTTCACGATCATAGCTCTCTCCACTAGTACAGAATAGTTTTCAATCCTAAGTGGCATTAGTAGTTGTCGGATTGAATCTTTCAGTCCAGGAAAAAATCTATGACACTTCTCCTCTGCATTTGGAGTGAGTTGTGGTGCATATCTCGATAACAAAATAAACTTTGCTTCATACTGCATAACTGATCGATCTCTTTGCACCAACCTAATGAATTTATCTTTTACTCGTAGTTGGGATACAAACCAATCTCTGAATATTTTCACAAACTTGTCCCACTCCACTAGTACAGAATAGTTTTCAATCCTAAGTGGCATTAGTAGTTGTCGGATTGAATCTTTCAGTCCAGGAAAAAATCTAGGGTGCATATCTTGATAACAAAATAAACTTTGCTTCATACTGCATAACTGATCGATCTCTTTGCACCAACCTAATGAATTTATCTTTTATCTACCTCGTAGTTGGGATACAAACCAATCTCTGAATATTTTCACAAACTTGTCCCACTGCACCAAGTGGCTGGTTCAACGTCGGAACTTCTACATCTGACTATGCTACAATCTTTAAGCTTCCCTCTCAAAAGCAAAAGTGGCTAGGGTAACTTATCTCCTGTCGACAAGTCATGTCATCTATAATCTTCTGTACTATCAAATGTCAGTTTTCAACTTCCACTGGTCGTCCTACTCCATAAAATAAAGGTGGTCTCATATCTTGAAAAAATATCAAGTACTTATCTATTGGTGGTCCTCCACTGCTGCTAACTTGAGATATAGAATTATTAATTAACTGAGTCACGCTACAAATCATATCAAATAAAACACCAGCACAGCCTGTGACATTCTAGGGTACAACAGATTCTACAATTTCATCTCTAACATCTTCATCTTGATCATCCATAATTTTGAAAAAAATCATAATTTAATTATGCTCAAATAATTTTTTTTAATTTTTAATATTTATTGCTTAATCCAATTATCTTATTGGCTCTTTCATTAAGATTCATGTTATTTAATCTAAGTCTTTGTTTTGATACCACTTTTTTCACGACCCAGCTCGTGGCTTAGAGTTAACCAAGACAAGAACAGACGGTCGGATGGTCAAAATTAGTTCACTGCTATTCTAATTTTATTATTAATAATTTAATATTCAAATAATGTATGAAAGAGCAACTAAAAAAATTAAAATTAGCAAGTTGAAATTTGTATATTTTTGTTTGTTGTTCTCGTCATTTGATCTTCTTTTATTTATCTTGTTCAAATGTTTAAAACCTAAAAAGAATATTAAAACAACATAATGAGTATTTGAAGATAACCCAGAAGTAACGACACTCTTATACTATAGTAATCCAAAAAAAAATTATTTATGTTAATTTATAAGAAATCTGATAATATGTTGGTATTTCATAATTTTATAAGTAATCTGATATATACTAATGCATGTGTCAATGATATTTTTCAAAATGAACATACACTAATCTTCTATTATATGCATTTATCTTAACTGTACTTTTACCATATATTCTTTACATATATTTTTGTCTCTATGAGGATACCGTCAACAACCTAACACACCCTGTACCAATATTGTCTCATTGGCTCCTGTCGGCATAGCGATTAACGATCTATACATCATGATTATCTAAGGTGGAAAGGTCATTACCTGCCCTTAACCGATATTATTCTGTTGGCACAACGATAAGCAATCCCCTTTCTAAGTTGCAAAACATCACAATTATCTATGGAGGTAAGCTTTGGTCTACTCGTCCCTTGTCGATATTATCCAGAGTTTCGGTCTTCCCAGGTGTTGCTCGGCTTCCCTGTTGCTCGTCCGCCCCTTGCTACAATTGCCGAGCACGAGAGCCTGCGGGAACACTTCCAGTCAGACTTTCTGCAGCGTGAAACTCTAACAAGGATAAGGGAACAAGAGATGAAATAAGGAGAGGGGAGTAAAAATTGAAGTTTTAGATGCCCTATTAGACTGATCGAAAGAAATAAAGTGGCACAAGGTCGGTTGTTAATAGTGGATTTGAGGATTAATGGATAGTTACTTCATAATTAATTAGGTTAATTAATTTAATAAAGCTTATAACTTTAAATTTTTATATCACTTAATTGATTCAAAATTAATATATAGTATTTTATATCAAATTGTTCGATTTATGACGTAGAAATTTATAAAATTAACTTGGTTAAAATTTAAGATCAACTCTTCAGGATAGGGGTTCACCTCTGGAATATGCATGGTGGAAGAGATCTATTGCATTCCTTCAATCTGACAAGTCACAGTTATGGCTACAGGTGACTCTTCAGGATTGTCTCTTCTCGAAGGTCGTCATTCTCTATTGCAGTTGGAGGAATGCTCATAAATCACATTGTGGCCTTTCCTCCTGAACAGGTCTCCGAGAATTGTCT